TTTAATGCTAGACGTCAATTGATCGAGCTAATCAATCTTTCTTGTATATATATATACATACATACATACATACATACATATATATATATATATAAAATCTTGATAATTTTCATTGATATAATATTAATAATAAGATACAGAATTAGATGACCTCGTTGAGAATAAGCGAGACGTGAACCTACGTATGTTACTTGTAGGAAGACAAGATGATCGCTGCGGAAACGGCGTTTTTGTTTTTATTTTTTCTTTAATAGGTACTCGATGTTCCAAAGTGCAGACTGTATAACGTATCGAAACAATAGTATATAATCAATTTACGCAATGTAATAAAGCGCTAATGAGTCTGTAACGAAGTAACTTAACGGAAAAAAACTTTTGCATACCTTCATAGGATACAATCGTGTTCGTTTTAAGCGTCAGCACATAAGTATTTTTTCAATCGATAAGAATAAATAAATTAATGCTGAAATAATGTCTCGTGAATAACTTCGTATTTCTAATGATACGCCGTGAAAATCCTAATTTCGGCAAGTACCATTACATAAAATACACGTACGTATTTATCTGCAATTAATAAAAATACATATTGTATTAGCTGCCGTATAAAATTCTGTTATACATTTTACGACCGGATTGTACGCTCATACACTACATATGGATAGATTTTATACTTTTTACGCAAGACAGCGAAAATTACATCCTCTTTGGAACGTATACAGGTACTTATAAATATATTATATAAAAAAACCTACGACATTGGCTGAGGTGAATTTAAGCGGAACATGTGTGACGATCCGTATCATAGAAGATATCATCAGTGATCACATCGATATTAATAACGTAATGATTATATCAATGGTCATTACATCAATAAAATGATGTTAAATCCATCGTTAATTAAACTGTCGTTAATTCTTGTGTGCATGAAACTCTCTTTTGTACTAAATAGCAATGTACATAAACGAATGGAGAATAAAGAGTTTAATATTATTGAATTGCTCATTCAATTCGTACTGGTGAATCAACGTTCTAAGAAGTTGATACATACTTATGGATTATCATTATTAAACATCAATTAATATAATAATATCATTGTAACCCTATCTTTCTGAACTAAATCTTTCTATTAAATGGTTTAAGAGGATGCTGGAGTGACTAAATTATCGACAGTACAGTCGTATAAAAAATTTTTTACAAAAATTTATAACAAAAATTTTTTATAGGATTAAAGTAGACGCAAAATTAGAAGATAGTGCAGTAGACTTTTACAATCGAAAAAACGTTAAGTAAGATTTTTAAGTTTTTCGATTTAATATAAGATCTACTGCATTGCTTCCTAATTTTGCGTTTACTTTAATCCTGTAAAAAAATTTTTTATTTTGTTCAGTCAATTTGGAGATTTTTATACAATTGTAATGTCGATAATTTGGTCACTTTAGCATCCCCTTCTGCAATTGTGTGTGCGTGCGTACGTGCGCGCGCACGCGCGTGTGTGTGTTTCGAATGATTTAAAATTATATTTATATGAATTGATCTTTTTTCCTGAATATGAGAAATTAAACAAGAAAAAACCTTCGAAAAATTCATCTCGGAGTTCCTAGAAGAATATACATTAACTTTAAACAATCTAATCCCTGTTTCTACCAATGTAAAGTAACTTTAATCTCGGTTTAAGTTACTCTTCATCTTTTTCTAAACTAGGAAAAGATGAAGAATTAATTGAATTGAGATTAAAATTAAATTGATAGAAATGGATATAAATCCTATTTATTTCGCATTTTCCAAGAAGTTATAATTTGAAGGATAAATAAGAGCTAAAGTAAATTGCGAATTTGAATACTTTTTATTTTATATTTCTGTATTTCTTTTGTGTAATTTTTTCTATAAATTTATATAAATAATATGAATTTATTTATTATGTAATTTAATTGATTTTATATAAACTATTTAATTTACATATAATTTAATATATTTTTTATAGTACATAAGTAGTTTTATTAGAGATTATTATTTATTTCTATATTTTGCATAAATATATATTTTTATATACACACAAAAATATAATTAAAAAGCAGACCAAAGGTATAATTTTAGGAGCGAATATATAAAAAAACGTAAGCTAACGAAAAGAAGACTAGTATATTTGTTACGTTGTGCCAAATACCGGTAACTGGTAGAAATCGTAGAATGTAGTATTCGAGTCAGTTTGAGATGATACGACCGAAATCATCACATCATCGTAAGATAAAGGAAAACAGGGACGAACAAACGCATGTTCGTCGTGACACGTGCGTTTGGAATTACGTATGGAAATAAAGCTAACTCATGTAAGCGCTATGTTAAATGCATTAGCACAGCGTACGATAAACCTTCTTTGCCGCGATATTATTACCGTAAGTAGAATGATCGTTATTAATGAACGAATCTTCTCGGAATGGGAATTGAAAAGTTAGGTTATGTTAGATCGACATCGTCAATACCCGTTTTCACCACGTAGATTAACTTAAATCTCGGTTTAACTTTTACCGTTTATCATTTTCTAATCATAAGAATGAAAAACAATTAAAGAGTATAAATTGAATTAAGATTTAAGTTAATCCTACATTAGTGGAACCCCAATGGAATACCAAGTATAAAGTACTTTTCCGGCGAGCGAACACGGGGAAATGATACGTGTAACAAGTAGGTAACAGCCGTTTTTGTTGCCATGCAGGTGAAAAAGTACGGGCTAACGAGAAGAATACACGAGAAAATCTGGAGGAAGACCAGGATGGCAGACCAGCCACTGTCGAGGATCGAGCCTGTCGTCATGAAGCTGGATAGCCCAGAGTTTCGCTCCGTTTTCACTCCGGAATTGAAGAAACTCGAAAGCCTCTTCAAGAAATATAATTACGAGCTGAGGATCGCCGGCGGCGCGGTGCGCGACATTCTGATGGGCAAGCAGCCTAAGGATCTCGATTTCGCGACTGACGCCACGCCACAGCAGATGAAGGACATGTTTACGAGCGAGGAGATCAGGATGATAAACGAGAAGGGTGAAAAGCATGGAACAATCACGGCAAGGATAAACGATACGGAGAACTTTGAGATCACTACTCTGAGAATCGACATTCTGACCAATGGACGGCATGCACAGGTGGAATTCACAAAGGACTGGAAATTGGATGCTAACAGGAGGGATCTGACCATCAATTCCATGTTCCTCGACCTCGACGGCAGGGTGTACGATTATTTCTATGGTTACGACGACTTAAAGAAAAAGAGGATAGTTTTTGTTGGCAAAGCTAGTGTTAGAATTCAAGAAGATTATCTTAGAATCTTAAGGTGTGTACTATTAACATGTATATAAAGGGATAGACAAAATAATATGAACTCCTGAGAAATGTTAAATGCTTACCAGCAAGAGACAAATGACATAGTGAATTACTAAATCC